GGGAAACCTGAAAGGCAGCAAGACTAAGCCAAAGGGGAAGAAGAAGAAAGCGAGAATGAGAAAAAGGAAGAAGAGTAATAATAATAATAATAATAATAATAATAATAATAATAATAATAATAATACGTGGATTGCAAATGGCTAATAATCAATATACAAGTTGGCATTGGGTTCATATTATTGATATTGCAACCATCTATTATTATTATTATTATTATTACTATTATTATTATTATTATTATATTCCCTTCTTCTTATCACCCTTATCCCCATTATAATTATACTCAGATTATAACTCTTGATTTACCAATAATAATAATAATAATAATAATAATAATAATAATAATAATAATAGATGGTTGCAATATCAATGATATGAACCCAATGACAACTTGTATATTGATTATTAGCCATTTGCAATCCAAGTATTGTATTATTATGATGATTACATTCCCTTCTTCTCATCCTCATTCCCATTATAGTTATACTCAGTTTGTATCTTCTATTTACCAATAATAATAATAATAATAATAATAATAATATAATATTGATATTGCAACCCATCTATAATAATAATAATAATAGATGGCTGCAATATCAATAATATGAACCCAGTGACAACTTGTATATTGATTATTAGCCATTTGCAATCCACGTATTGTATTATTATTATTATTATTATTATTATTATTATAGATGGGTTGCAATATCAATAATATTATTGATCTTGCCGCTTTGAGTCTCCTTTGGGGAGATAATGCAGGGTTATCAATAAATATAGTGATATTAATGCCTGTGAAATCCGTGTTCCCTGGTTGTGTTGTGAAGGAGGGAAGCAAGCAAGCAAGGGGATGGTGGTGACCTTTTTCCATGGGACGCTTGGGCCTCATTCCATTGCTGTGACTCCAGTTTGTGTGAAATCATCCCTTTTTCCCCCAAATGCCTTTCAGCCATTGACTCATCCCTGAGGTTTCCTGTTGTTTTCGGCGCCCGGCTCCCACCCCTCCCGGCCCCTTTCCTCCCCAAATAGCCTTCACTTCCCTTGGGATCTGTAGTTTCCCAAGGCCCCGAGCTGCAAACCTACAAATCCCAGGGCGCTCTAGCATTTATTCGATAATATGGGCTCACCCTTAGAAAGAGAATAGCCCACGGCCCCGTTCTATGGATCCCTGGGATTCGTAGTTTTCCAAGGTGAAACTACACATCCCGGAATGCCATCTAATTAAACATGGCATTCATTCAATAATAAAGACGCACCCTAAGCAAGGTAACGGCCATATCTCCACTGGATGGGGGGCCTTGGGATTTGTAGTTTCCCAAGGGCCTGAGGTGTGAACTATGGGTCCCAGGATGCCACAGCATTGGGCATGGTGGCATTCGTTCAATAATACAGGTAATGGCCATATCTAAATAAATCTCCATTGGATGGGGGCCTTAGGATTTGTAGTTTCCCAAGGACCGGAGGTGCAAACTATAGGTCCCAGGATGCCACAGCATTGGGCATGGCGGCATTCGTTCAATAATACAGACACATCGTAAGCAAGGTAATGGCCATATCTAAATAAATCTCCATTGGATGGAGGCCTTGGAATTTGTAGTTCCCCAAGGGCCCGAGGTGCGATCTATGGGTCCCAGGATGCCATAGCATTGGGCATGGCCTTCATTCAATAATATGGATGCTTCCTTAGAAAGATAACATTCACAGCTCCGTTCTATGGAACCCTGGGATTTGTAGTTTCCCAGGGGCCTAAGCTGCAAACGGTGCAAACCCAAGGAGGCCGTGGCATTGAGCAGGGCGTTCATTTTCGATAATATATAAGGTTTTTGAGGGGGGAGCAGCCGGGCGGCGGCGGCGGCGCCGGAGTTCTTGGGCCTGAAGAGGCCCTTGGGAGACGGCGTTTTCCTGGAATTTGGAGGGAAAGGCTTCAAAGGGAAGGCAGGCAGGCAGGCCTTGGCAAAAGCCACGCCACCAGGCTGGGAGGAAGCCTCTCTTCCCCGCAGAAAGGCAGGCCCAGTGGAGCTGCGCCTACACTGCAGGAGTTAATCCAGTTTGGCACCACTTTGGCGCCCTGGGAGTTGTAGTTTGCCAAGGCCCGGAGGCTTCTCAGGCCGCCTTCCTTCCCCAAACCCCCAGCATAATAGGATGTATGGCTGCACGGTCCCAGGCGGGATATCATATTGTGAAAATGTGATTAAAAATGTAATATATTATATGCACATACAAACACATACACAAACACATACACATACACACCAGGCCTGGACCAACTTGGGCCCTCCCTCCAAGTGGATTTCAACTCCCACAATTCCTAACAGCCTACCATATATATATGTATATGTGTGTGTTATTAAATTATTATTATTTTGTAAATGGGCCCTTGGTATCCGTTGTAATTGAAAATGTATTTTTAAAATATGAATATTTGATTAATATTACTAAGTTATTTTTAATTTTCTTTAAAGAATGGGCCCTCAGTATGCACTGTAATTCAAATGTATT